TTTTCAGCCGTTTCATAAACACTTTAATAATGCAGAACACGAATATATGAATATGTCGTATTATGTCCCCCTCACTAACTGCAATCTGCATGTTAAAATATGATACGAATAAATGAATAATGCATCAACAAAGCATACTGTAATAACTGTATACTCTGAGTCAGACCAACACGTTAGGCAATGCCGCAAAACTAGCCATTATGGCAGTATGGCTTGTCTCGACAGTATCCAAAAATTTATATGCAAAGTACAATCTCAGCTCGCAGCCTCGCAAGCATGCGCCTCGTAGGCTCACTTATCGAGGTGGCGACGCCACTGGCAACGTACTGTCCCGGCCTATAATATTGCTATTCGTTCAGACAGCAATGGTTTACTCAGTTCAGTCACTTCAGTGTTGCATAAAACATTCTCATCAAAGATAAGTTCTTAAAGTAAGTTTTGTATGCATTAAAATTTACCGAAAATTACTTTATTGGTTTATTTGGTTAGAATCAAAATACTTGAAGTAGCTATATGCTTTTTTCTTTATTTGATGATTTTGATCATTTGTAGACAACAAAACACTTTTCGATAGTTTCGTTGCATAAAAGTGTCAAATTTTAGTTTTACTGCGATATTTGTTGATAACTGAAATCGGTAGAAACATACATCAAATATTCAAATTGCAAAACCGGAAGAGGGAAGCCATAGATTACAGCAGTTTCACGTGATACGCGACCACCCAAAACAAAAGTTCGTTGAAGTAATGTTTGTTTTTGACATGGGGGCGTGGCTACCAAGTACCAACTAACAGTTTATATTACATCAGCTGATGCCTCATGTCAAAAACAAACATTACTTCAGCGAACTTTTGTTTTGGATGGTCGCGTATCACGTGAAACTGCTGTAATGAATCATGTATTTTGCCTATTTTTATATGAAGTCGAATGAAGACAAGTAATAATATAGTATTTTAAAAGTTTTTGATATCGCATGCACATGGCAACTTTGCAAGCACCAAGCATGCCAAGCAAGTCAGTGGTCGAGGATAAAGAAAATTTAGAACAATCAAGGCGTCAATCCAGGGGGAACCACTAAAGGGGAACAACCCTCCCCCAATTTTTGGAGGATTTATAATACAATCTATAGTAAAATAGCTATAGATCTGGTAACAGACTAACAGGCTTTGTCCCTTTAACTCCTTGGTAAGAATTTTTGCGCTTCCCACCAAATTACGAACAGAAGACAGGCTGCAAGATGCTGTAGTATTGTAATAATTATAAGTTTATATAAACATGCATTGCCTTTTTAGCTTTTACTCTTTTGCAATGCTGCCGAGCTAATGGAAAAAGACAAAGTTGTAGACGAATCAAATGTATGTCATGTTTGCAATGGAGATGTAGGCCAAGCCCATTCATGTTTGACTTGCCACCGCTTTATCCATATTTTTTGTGGTACTCAACAAGACGAGGAAGGCTATGGTCAGAAAGCTATTTGCAAAGATTGTAGCGGTATATCACTAGTAACAATATTTCTTCCTAACATATTTTTGTACTGATTGTTAGAAATTAATGTCAAATTTAATAAAAATTAATTAAAAATTGCATGTTAATACATTTTTATATAATTTTGTATTTTCCTCACAGATGTTCAAATAGTTAACAAACCAGTCGAGAAGACGACTTGTACGACCAAGGAGACCCCAAAGGCAAAACGACCATGGGATTGGAAACAGTGTGGCTTATCCCAGCAAAAGTCGTCCTCTCAGATCCCTGAAAAAGTTAGAAAGACCTCTAGCACAGAGAAGGGAGTACAGCAGAAGTTCGTATGCATTGATTGTCTTGAGCAATCTCTTCAAGGAAAAACCGATGAAAGGTTTGCACAAATTTGTCGCTTAGACAACACTAGTATTAAACGCCATATATCAAGGTGGCACTGTCCCCCCAAAAGCGAAAGCTGCCGATTTGTCCCGTCAAATTCAATTCAAGTACAGGTGTTAAGAAGGAAATATGATAAGCCGAAAATAATTCAATCTAGTTCTAATACAAACAAGCAAGCACCTCGTCAAGCTCCACAGCCTCTCCTCACTGAAAGTGGGGAGATAGAGTCGTTATGTGATGTTGAAACAAGGCAGCTCAATGACAAGAAAGGCCAAGATATCTCTGAGCTGCAGCAGTCGAAAGACGAAGGAGACGATTCTGATTCGATTGGCAGTTCATCAGCCTCTACAACAGTGAAAATGCAGTCAACCTTACTCCAGTTTGGTACATGTCAATCAGATAACGATAGAACGCCTGTCACTTTGGAGAAAGTTATGGAAGCAATTCAGAATCTGAATATTAAGGTTGACGACATAGCAAAGAAGCATTCCTCACTTGCACATTTGGCCTGTGAAGACAGTGACACGTCTAAAGCTATACGTCGCCTAAAATCAGCGGAAAATATTATTCAGATTGCTGAAGCAACCAATCTTCTGGAATGGTTTTATGACGAGGATGAAGAGACGGGGATACTACGCTGCTTACCTTGTTTCCAACTGTACATGGCCTCCAGGCCAAATCTCGCAAATCTAACGCCTCTAAGAGCTCAACGCCTTTTATCCTCCAGCAGTAGTGGAACATTTGCGACAGGTATCTTGTTGAAGAAGGAAACAACGCGTCTTCTTATACAAGGCCATAATTCGAGATGGTATACACAGAAGAATTCATGTTTAGAGCACTTGTGTCTAATCGGAACTGGGTCTAATATTCATAAGAAAGCGATGGATGAATATAAGCGGAATTTGCAAATCGAGCAACGGAGATCAACTGCAGCAATGAATATCTTTCGTTCTGTGATAGCTGATTTGAAACTTGGTGCAGCTGCTCAGCATGTAGAAACATTAATTTCCTTGCTCGCATCATGTTCTGTAAATGTTGGCTGTATCAGGCATTGTAGAAAGAACGTCAAAGACATTCTTTACTGCCTCGAGAAGACTGTTAATGGCAGAATACTCAAGTGGTTAAGTACGCCTCTCCCATCAACGATGATTCCACCACATTATTGGGCAACCATCGACAAGAGCACACCAAGTAGAACAACAAACCAAGCTACCCTCATCGTAGCACGCGATGAAAACGGCATTCCGAATCCAATTCCTGTGGCAGCTCCTCCAGTGTACTCAGAGTTTGATGTTGCTTCTTACGAGAAGATGGCAGAGATGCTGCTGAAAGTTATTCAAGATAATTTTTCAACTGATTTGCAGGCTAGATTGTGTGCTGTTTCCGCAGATGGGCCATATCAAGCAAATGGCTTCCGTGGCAAACCTTTGGAGAAACTGGGGATTGAAGATAACGAACTTGCTTTACCCGTAATATGGGATGCTGCACACATACTAAATTTGGCTGTACTAGATGTCAAAGACTCGAACACTGACAGCGGTCAACACTTCCGAAGATTCGTAAAACGTTGCAATGTATTTAATACTATCCTAGCAAATGGTAAAGGGTTTGCTTTTCTTCAACTGACTGATTCTTCTGCAAGACGACCAGTTTCATATGCTTGTCAAAGGTTCGCGAGTTCATCTTACGAACAGTGGGAAAAAATTGAGAAGAGCTTCGCTTCCTACTGGCAGGCGTTTGATCTTCTTTACCCCAATCGACGCGAAGACGAGGAATATCAGTATATGATTGCAGGGTCGGATTTTATCATGGATCTTCTCGCATTCCTAGACACGATGAAGCCGGTTGTTGATTCGATGCTCCGGGTGCAGTCTTTAGACACGCCTGTATGGAAGCTCAAGCTTTGGTGGCCAAGCATTAAAGCGTTGATGGCAAAGGCCTCCAATGAATATCCCGTTTCACTTCCAAAGTTAAATAAAGTGATGGGATCACTCAAAGCAGGCTGTACATATAACGCAGTGACCCTTCTACCGGGCTGGTTAATTACAAATGTCGAAGGGTGTGGCGGGAATAAAACTTACACATGGTCGTTACGAGATGACGAGGATATAGAGAATGATCATGTCCAATTCGCCAAGGATTTGATGACAGCCGTGGAGAACAGGGTATTGTCCGTCACATCTAGTGCGTTTTTATCGGTATTAGAAGTCTTTGATGCCCAGTCTCTTGTAAACCTGCAATGTGGTCGAATGGTTGAGCAGGAAATAGAATTTCAAATCCCTGCTGGAGAATACGACAATTATGGTTTACAGCAATGTAAGGAGGTATTATTTCATGATTATATTATATAAAATTGTTTTGTAATTTCAACCAGTTCGTTCTTTGTCATGCAATTTGCATGCAGACATCTAAGAGCTGGTAAATTCGTTCTCTTTTCAAGGTAATGAAAATCATCTCGCAGATGCAGCATATAAAGGAGTCAGGAATGGATTTCGACCCAAGGCTAGCAAACAGGTTCATGCGTTGTCTGAAAGAAACAGTTTTAGCAGGAGTTTGGAAAGGCCTATGTCCGGAATGGTTTGTTGATGACAAAAACAGACCGGTACAACAGCCTAGCGATGCAGTACTCAAGGAGTTCAAAATACACCTTTTGATGCGATGTTTGAGATGGTTTTCAGCAACGGAAAAAGAAACAAAGTTCGCTTACACGAACAGAACTTGTACGAGTCATTCTACTCTAACAAAGAAATCTACTCCATCGCAAAACCACCAACTTGCATCATCCTTGACGTAGTTTTGGTAAAAGGGGGGCCGGAATCGATTGTTGATGAAAGCTATTATAGTGCTATGAGATTTCAGCAACAAACTGGTGGGCAATCAAATGACATACTAGCTCGGAGAACAAAGCTCAGTTGGTGTCTTCCTTCCTTAAAGCTGTGCGACAACATTATTGCAGAGAGCACAAAGTTATACCACAAAGGTGATGACCAGTTCAAGAGGCATAGAAGCAACATTTTTGCCTCGGACAGGGCTCAGGATTACGACGTTTCCAAGGTCGTGGATCGTGTTGATTCAGACATGGGACGCTGCCCCTTCCTAGCAAAATGAAGAAGTAATGATTATACATATTTTTCAGTTATATCTGGCTTTTTAAAGTCAGATTATTGCAAACTTGCTAGTTATTTACAGCTAGTTTGATTGATATTATTACATTTTACAAGGACCAGACAAACCTTACTTCAGGTCATTGTTGTATTATGACATCTAGTAAAAAAAACTTTAGTAAATACTGACCTACAATGCTGGCAAAAATTATGTAGACAACTTGGTTTAGAAGAGAAATGTGAAAAAAATGGATAAAGTTATTTTGAGAAATTTCCCCAACGGACCTATTTAATGTTGTTTATATTGCTCCGCTAAATGTTTATTGGTTTCAATAGCAACATTGCACAGACAGAGGGTGAAGAAGGAAAGATTATTTCGTATCACATAAGAAATGCTACATTGTTCATTACTTCATTAGCATGCTCTACCCAAACATTTTTGCCAGGATTGTATAGCAGCGTATCTTCAGTTTCATATTTTAAAATTTTCATGTGTTCCACATTTTGCCATATGCAATGCGTTATTATAGAATATAGTGCAATACAACAATCAACATTGCAAAAAGGACTGAAAATGTAACGTAAGAAAATAATGACGAAGTTTAGAAGTTATCTGCTTTCATGTTTTCATGTCACATTTTTTGGCGCCATTTTCTTTTGGCGCAAACAGTAGCGAAGAAAAATATTAGCAAACGACCTTGGCGTGTCATTGTAAATGCTATGGCGTATATCCGGCGTGAGTATAACACAGAATCCACCCTGGGCTGAAACTTGATTTTTTACAATGGTGCTAGTAAATATGAATCTTGATGGAACAAATGGAACACCAATCCAGACAATAGGATATCCGAAGGGGATAGGGGGGTTAACTTCCAATTTCCTCCGTGGGGGTGGTATGGATGTTTTCTGGAATGACCCATTGATAAACAGAGAAAAACAAGATAATGTATTGTCCTAGAACATAGATATCCTAATATATTACACACAGTCAGGTTTTAGCAGTGCCGTAGCAAGCTCGATAATTGGGGGACTGATATTCGTGTTCACAGACCATAAAAACAATGGAAATAAAAATAACACACAACACGAATATATGAATATCAGCCCCATTATCAGAGCTTGCTGTAGCTGTAATCCAAATGGTACACATGACATTAAAAACCTACACAAGCTTTCCCCCTGCTCTCCCCCCTAAAAGTTGGTGTCTGCTGCCACTGCTCGAAATGTTCTCCTTTTGGAGGATGTGAAGGAGTGGATATTAAAGTTATAAATGTTTATGTAATTTACTCCTTCACATCCTACAAAAGGAGAAAATCGCAACTAAAATTGCAGCAACAAATGGCAACAATACAACATCTTACTGTGCAATGTTAGAAAATGGAGGGGTATTCTGCAATCTAACCTGATCAAAATTTAAGGGACCATTCATTATTTATGACCGGGGTGGGCTGGCAAAATTCAATTAACAACTAAAGAACATGTCATGCCCCACCCCCTGTATCACAAAAAAATTCAATGACCCCCTTCACATGAATTCTAAAAAATAGTACCCCCTCTCACCACCACCACCACCGACAATATAATAAATGTACATTACTGTATATAAATGAGCTCTTTGAATTTGTTGTTAAAGGCATTAGATCTTTCATTTACTTGTGCTTTCAACAATTAATATGCATGCCTATTTAATCCATTAAGCTGCAGAGTTTCTTGTCTGGCATTAATTAAACAAGTAAAAAAATAAGTACTGGGGTGCAATGGGTTAACTAGAGACATTGTCAGATTTTTTGGTTAACCCATTAAGCTGCAGAGCGCCGAAGAGGCTAAAGCTGGGGGTCATACCATTTTTCGCTACTAAGAATGTAGTAAAAAGTTGCTCAAAAGGAAAAAGTGCTTGAAGCTGCTCGAGCCGAAAAAAGTTGCTCCAAACGCAAAAAGTTGCTCAAAAGTTGCCGAGCACAATCGGGACATACCTAGCAGAGCTTCCCCGTTGACGAGTAAAATCGGTTAGGAGTATAGGATTAGGAGTAGGGTTAGGGTTACAGTGCCGTAGGAAGCTCTTTTTGATCGGGGATCTGAAAGCGAGGGCCAAAGACCCGAGGAAATTTTTAAATTTAGAGTCTCTGAAATGCCATTTCCTGGACATTGAGGAAGATTTGACAGCATTCTGATGGTGAGAAAACAGCATTTTAGTATGTCGACATTTACAATTTAGCAGCACTAAATGGGCGAAGGCGTATTTAATTAACTATAAATTGGAGAAGTTGCAGGAAAGTATGAGAAATAATTTCATTCTTTGCAGTTTGGCATGGATAATGTAGCCGCTTAAAATTAATTGCTAGTATTTTAAAGGTATATTATTTAAATGATAAAGGTCGCTCCCTGTGGTAGCAATAATCGTTACATGTCAAACTTTTCTCCACTATAATACCACTATAATAAATAACTGGACCCCCCTTCTGAACCAATATTTTTAGGTGCCCCCCCTTTTTTGGTCAAAAATACCTCATGACCCACCCCCTTTTTTGCCAGCTCACCCCCAGTCATAAATATTAAATGAATGGTCCCTAAAATACGAACCGCCAACACCAAGTCATAAATCATAATTAACTATTAATACATGTCATGTACATTGTACAGTATATGAATAATTCATATTCTTGAATTTACATAAGCCTGCACAAAATGGATAAGGAAATTAAATAAAACACTGAATATATAAAAAGTTTAGCCTCAGACAGAGATGATTTTAGCAGAAAATCACGACAATATGAGCCCGCAAACAACAAAGACATTGGATTGCGGTTGGGTATCAAAAGTTGGTCTTCAAAAGTTGGTCTTCAAAAGTTGGTCTTCAAAAGTTGGTCTTCAAAAAATAAGTCGTGTTTTCAACCGATAAACCGGTGATCTTCAAAAACAATGATGTTATTTTAATAAAATGAATATGATCCTCAAAATATCATATAGTGAAATGCAAAAGTTGATTTTTGGCGGACATGGGACACCATACGCACTTGCTAATGGTGGGATACGTCACGATCTGGGAGAAATCTCAGTGCAACCAGCGAGACAGAGCGAGCATATACTTTCGAAGCTAGGTCGGCTTTCCAGGCCGAACACGATCGAGGAATTCGTCGTAAAAGACGAAAAATAATTAAACAAGAAAGAGCGAGAGAGATATACAGAGATGTTTGAAAGAGAAAAAAGATCTGAGAGGGAAAGAAAAATGCAGGAGAGATTTATTATCGAGCACGAAAATAGGAAGAAAATAGAAGCTAGTCGTTCGTGTACGTACACAAAGAGAGGAACGTGCTGTTGACTTCTGGCGACTGTGGGACAAAGACAAAATGTTACGCAGTACGAGCAACATGTGAGTAAAATAGCATAAATTTATACATTCAAAACTAGTCAAAACTGTACTTCTTGTAATACCATCCGCATATTTTAAAGACAGTGTCCTATAAATACGTGAAGTATCGCAAAGTTCCTGAAACCCGAAGCTATTATATATTATATATTTCGAATTTCCCAATTTAATACCCACACTGAAACAATTAACATGTAATACTACAGATATACTCGATAAATGTATAGTGTTCTATACTGAATTCTACAGATCAGCAGACGTAGGTAAACAATAATTGCATGTCTAGCGACTAGTGTTTCTAAGCAGGGCATTTTTAAAGAATTTGTCAGTGGGGGGGGTGGGGGGTGGCATATACAAAAAGGGACCATACTATACCAATTGTGGAGAAATGATAGATGGTTTGTTGGTAACAAAAAG